AGAATATTGATCCATATATAAGGTGCATCGGATCATAGGGTGCACTGTCGGCTTTTGAGAAAATGGAATGCTTTTAGGTGCGCCCTATAGTGCGGAAAATATGGTACTCTGTGCCCTGTGCCGCCTCGATTCTCTTAAACCAGAGGTGTCTTTTCATTCAGGGTGAAGGGGCCACTTTAAAATTCTTCAACTTTTTCAAACACACCACAGTCAGTCAAGAAAGCAATTATATATTGTTTGTTCTGTCTACTTAATTTCATCAGCTTTCTGTTGAAGGTGTTAAAGCAAATTGCTTTTGGGGGTGTCAACAGCCGTCTATTTCACAAAGTAAATCCAGCTCTGCAATTAACAGCAGCCGTATCCCATCTCCACAATCAGAACCAAAAAAAAAAAGAATAAGCTGTAGTAAAGTGACCTTAAGATATATAATGTCGAGTAAACTTCTACAGTTTATAAACAAATTTGTTACTAGTAATGACACCTATTTTTCTAACACCCTTCCTACTCGCTCTGCCCACCGTCAACATTTTTAACTAACCTTGCAGGCCATGAGTCACTGAAAAATGGATGCTGTAGTTTGGACACCACTGTCTTGAACAATAAATACAGTAGTGCTGTGAAAGGATTTGTCGTATATGAATGAATGATAATGCAGCCTTGAGGCGTCAAGCACAGTCACGATTGCCAATTGTAAGTCTGCTGTAAGTAATTTCTTTCTGCAGGAAATCAGTGTGCCGCTTACGAGCCTTTAGGATAAAGAGTTATCCTTACAGTACGTACGGCGACTGACTGTACCAAGATCATATTTAAAACCATTGTCAGTATTATTCACTCCTATTTTCAATGGTAAAGCTCATGTCATTGGATCAGAACTATTTTCATTCACACAAATGTCTCATTGCAATTCGTGGTGCGTCTTGTAAAAGACGGATGGAAAGATTAGCCTCATCTATTTTACGTCATGCATTTAAAAGTAAAAGTCGACACCTCAAGTTCACTTGCTGCATTAATAATGCACATTAATGAACTGAGAACTTGATCACCGAAAGCCATTTAACAGCAATTAAAAAAAAAAAATGGCATTAAGAGGAACCTCCATTATACACTCCTCGGTCACCACATAATGTACACCTGCATTAGCCGTATTCCAAATGGTGCGGTTTCTTTCTTCTCAGTATGGTGCAACTCAGTTCTACACCAGTACAAATAGCATCCACAACAATAAATATCATGCTAATGCTCTACCTCTCTGACAGTAGTAATTAAAATTGAACATTGTATTGATACAATACCATCCAATAAATACAATAAAACTGCTCTTACTACAAGCTCCAAACCATTTTTTCCCCTCTTTGTTCTTATAAATGCCTGTGCATACCTACACAATGCAGCGTTCATCAAAGTAGTCGGAATTATTGATTGGTGGAAATTAAGAGCAAACAAAAAACGGGTTGTGTTCGTCTTTAATTACACGCTCAATATAAATCTGAGAAGGAGAAACAAAAGATGACACCACGTGATAGTTCGTAAGTAAGCATGCGTGTCTGCTCGTTAGACCTTCATTGTACTTAACTTAGCTGTCAAGTCAGCTGATGTGTAACAGCTACACTTTCTCTGTACACCAATTAAGCATGAGTACAGGATGAAAACCAAATGCTGTTATTTAATACTTGAAATTGAATTTCTCTGAGTGTGCATTCGAATGGACCTGAAAATCCGTTTGAACGTACTTGTTCACTAAATTTTACAAACGTAGCATTTTTCCCAGAACGGTAGAACGTTTACTTGATACGCTTTCCAGGATTTAATTACACGCTCAATATAAATCTGAGAAGGAGAAACAAAAGATGACACCACGTGATAGTTCGTAAGTAAGCATGCATGTCTGCTCATCAGACCTTCATTGTACTTAGCTTAGCTGTCAAGTCAGCTGATGTGTAACAGCTACACTTTCTCTGTACACCAATTAAGCATGAGTACAGGATGAAAACCAAATGCTGTTATTTAATACTTGAAATTGAATTTCTCTGAGTGTGCGTTCGAATGGACCTGAAAATCCGTTTGAACGCACTTGTTCACTAAATTTTACAAACGTAGCATTTCTCCCAGAACGGTAGAAGGTTGACTAGATGCGCTTTCCAGGACTCTGGCTGAGCTACAATTAGTTTGAAAGTAGTCAGCAATTTTAGCATGAGGAATTATAGAAATGGAAATCATCAGTTCCAGGTCATGCGGTTGCCATGATACTGTTTTATGGAACATTTTAACATTCTTAAAATTCATTTATCAGATGGTAGGCACAGTTAATAAACAACCGCATGTTTTTAATAAAAAAAAAATCATTTTTTTGTACAGATAACTGATATTGGATAATTTCTCGTGGCACACTGGATGATCGCTCACGGCACACTAATGTGTCGTGAGCATATTCAATTTTTATCCCCGTCTCTATTTTTGTTTCTCTTCCTCAAAACTTCTGACTGCTGCAGCACATGCTCCTTTTTTTCCCCTCTATTTTCTTTCACCGATCGATAAGTCAAACCCAATGCGGAGTCCTGACTTCCAAAACTTTTTATAACAGTCTCAAGCACCTTGCTACACAACAATTGAAACGTGTCTCACCAATAAAGCTTTTCAGGACTCATCTACGCCTCCCCTGCCCTCACCTGCTTCCAACCAAAATAAATTGAATTCATTTGACTTCATGTTTGTGTTGACATCGAAGGCTGTTTGCATTACCGTAATACAAAAAAAGAACAATAAATTTATAACATCAACCGGTCCAGGGTGTGCCTACTGCTCGAAGACAGCTGGGATAGGCTCCAGCACGCCCTTGACCCTCGAAAGGATAAGCGGATTAGAAAATGGATGGATGGATTGATAACACATTTACCATATTTGCCAGACAATAAATTACACTTTTTTTCCCATTGTTTAGCTGAACCTGCAACTTATACTCAGAGGCGACTTATTCTTGCGGTCGACATACTTGACTTGGTCGACTTTTTTCCCCATATCCGTCGTACTATTATTATGTCAAAGACAGCTTCCATCCTGTTGTACCGTGACTTTCACATTGTTCAGGAGTCTACTCAGCGTTTGACATATCTCTGACTACTTACTGGAACGATTGGGGATATGCTGTCCACCCCCACCCCCCCCCCCCCCCCGGCGCTACTGGAGTGATGAGCATTGGATCATTTGCATGAGACAGAACTGCCTACCAAAACCTGATGCTGTTTCAGACGCGGTGTCTTGTAAATTTTGTATTTTTCTGGGATTTTGAACATGGGTCACAGACATCGGTTTTGATTTGTGGAAACATTACATCTTCTGTCCCCTTTAAAGTTATTTTGGGGTTGTTTCAATAAACAGTTTTCGATTGCCTGCATTATGTTCCTTGTTGTTTAACCTTCAGGGATTTCTCCTGGTTTCATGAGCCACGCCTTCTTGTCTTTCTTTCGGTTTTGAGCCTTCCCTTGTGTTTTACAAGTCATCTCACCAGCCTTATTAACTTGAGTGCATGTCTACAGTTGTCATTGTTTTATGCTTATTTTTGTGATCATTTTTATTGTGCTCTTTTTTTTTTTTTTTTTTTAGTTCTTGCCTGCACTTGTTGCTGTTACCATTTCAACCACCCACCATGTCAGAGCACATGTGCGTCACATTATGATTATACAACTCAAAGTGTTATGCCACAACGTTATTGACGTATTTGGATGGAAAAAAGAAAAAAGAAGAAAATATTTTACCACCAGCTAATCAAAACAATAATTACCTTTGATGACCAAAGAACACTGTTGACCGAGACCCGTTTCCATCTTTCTGTTTTGTATTTGCATCTGCACACAAAATGAAAACCTCTTCAAAGTAATCTTCTTGCTTCTTTAATGATGGCGCATATTATTGTCCGGATGAAACGGAACCCCAACCTTTCAGAGGAGCCAGAGGGTAAACATTTTGGCGACATTGGAGACCTTAAAATATTGATGAGCATTAGGTTGATAATGGCCCCCTTATGGCCAGAAAGTGGACACCGTGCATTAGGTTAATCTGCTTGTTGCCTTGTTTTATTTTCCCCCTCAATCCCTGAGTAGAGTTTAAAGAAACAGAGGAAGAAACTCGGGGCGCAACGTATCTAGACAAATGTCCCAATAGCATAGAGTTTTCCAATTTGATTTTGTGAATATGCTGTTTAATTTATTATACTCTCCAATCATCAATTGTAATTCACTCTGCTTCGCCAAAAGGGCCTTATTCAATTTGATTTGCCAGCTTACCCTTGAGCGAAAACAGTAGCACTTATCTAATGCCACCATGCTGTTTCATCTTCTCATATTTTCATTTTTGTGTCAAGAGCTACTGACCTTGCACGCGTCAAGGAGAGCGACGCCAGCCTGTCTATGCTCTTTTGAGCACTTTAGAATGTTAATTTGGATTTCTTCATATTCAGCGTTTACATCGAGCTTCTTTTAAAAATACTTTAGGTTCCCAAATGGCAATATAAGGATAATGGTTTTGTTTTTCCACTCGATGGTATGAATATATCGTCTGAAAGGCTTTTTGTGTAGCACTGCAACTATTGGGGATATGTTGTCCATCACTTATCTACTTGAAGCACACTTGAAATCTTCCTTACAGCCGTAGTTGGATTGTTTACCCGTATTGCTGGCGTTATAAATTTTACATGGGGAAAAAAACGTAAGTGCGATCTCCACACAAAGGCCCCTGGTTGCCATCCTCTCCCTAATCCTCATTTAAATCTCTCACCCATATGAGTTGCACCCCACCTCGTATGTTTTTTTTTTCTTTTATACAGGAATCACCCAACTTCAGATTGGTTACAGTATGCAATCACTGACGGCGATAACTAAAGAGTTACATTTAGCTTTTGGCCGTCATTGCTTCACGCCCCTCTGTATCATTCACATCATCTACTCATCCGTATTGATCATGCAATCCGCTGATTTCCCCAAATTTAAAGTGGTTCTATTTCTCAGGCTTGAGTCCCCGACCCGGACCCTAACTCTTGAGGCACCCCGCGGTGTGGAGGTGAATGCTGGGGTTGGAGACTTCACGGCGTCATGTCGAAAAGACCTCCTGCTGCAGTCCTCAGAAGGAGAAGTGAGTATACAATATTTTATCGATCCTCATAGAAGAATAGAGAGGAAATTTGCGTGCAGTCTGCGATTGATCTGTATTCCTACAATGTCATGACATTTCTATGTATGATGTCTGTGTTTATCTCGTCTGGTTTGTGTGCTTTTATATACAAGACAGTATGGGGCCTCCTTCATTAAAGTACCTTGCTAGGCTAATGAGCATCATCAATCGAGCGACCCTGTCTTTCTTTTCTCCCCTCCTTTCTTGTGTTTGGGAAAGTGACTTCATTAAAGCCGCTCTGATGAGGTTCCCTGTCATCTGCCGCCGTCATGTGTGTGTGTTCTATTAGCCTGGTATCTTACTGTCTGTCTCTTTGAATAACAGCCTGCCACATGGGAGCAAGAGCTCATGCTTGGCCAATGTCAGTGTGTAAATTTGTGCGTGTGCATGTGTATGTGTGTGTGAGTGCGTGTGTGTGGGTGTGTGTGCACACATGTCCACTAGAGCACAGTGTGTCATTAATTCTGTAATTAACAGAAGAATGCCTCATCCTTTGGACACACTGTCAGGTTCCATCATATATTAAATACACTTTCTCTCTCTCTTTCTCTCCCCCTCTCACCTTCTACCTCTCTCTCAAATTCACACATGCACACACACCTGCGCGCGCACACACACTCACACACACACACACACACACACACACACACACACACACACACACACACACACACACACAATATTTTTGGAAGGCTTAGAAATCAAGTTTGATGTTCCTCTCGAAAACACATTTCTCGTTTCCTCCTTTCCACCACCCTCTCAGAATCCTCTCATATCCCCTCTCTTTGCCCACTTCTTTCCTTATCTTGGCTCTTCACTGACCCTTCATCAGGAAAAGTACACAACTTCATCCCTATAATTACGCACCCACGCGTTGGACTTAAATTTAGCATGCAATGAGGGCACCCATTGATGTGTTTTATTATTTCGTTGATCCTGTGCAGCGTCACAGGAGGATTGGAGCCAATCCCAGCCGACTTTGGCTATTACAAATTCAGACTGATGATGTGTTTTTTTTGTTTTTTTGTTTTTTTTGTGGCTAGAGAAACAATGCACTGCCAGGGATGTTCACATTACAGTTCGGAAAAACCTATTTTACATGTCCTCATCCTCCTCCATCCTCTCAGGCTCTCATATCTGAGTAACCCAGCCTATCTAATTAACTTTCGGCTGCCAGGGTTGTACATCAGCATGACTGTCACTTTATAGGAAGAAGGAGGGGACCTTTTTTTTTTTTTGCCTCTTTTGTGTCAGTTCTCTCTGTCTCTGCATTTCATGCATTCTTTTGTCCACTGTTCCCTTCTCATCCATTATCGCTCTCTGTCTCTCTCTCTCTCTTTTCTCCTTCTTGTCCATGCATTGATGGATGTCTCCCAGGAAGTGAACAATATCGTGCATGTTAGAGCTGAGTTGCAAAAGGACTGCAGCACAGTTTGACACCATGTAAGGCTCTACAAATGAATGAATGCAAGCATGAAGGACTTGTAGTGCGGTGCCTCTTTCACTAGTCAAATGTATGGAAATGGCTGTGTAAATCCACCAAGAAGCCTCAAACGTTACTGCGTTGTCATGTGTGATTTTTTTTTTTCTTGAACACAGTCACATGCCAAAATGTGACCACAATTTAATGCTAAATTACATCAGCACTCAAAATAGCAGACGAGATGTGCTGAGATTTGCAAAGACGATAGCATGGAGATCTGATTACAGCAATGTGTCAATCTTCTCATTAAAAATAATGTTGGATGTGCAAATTTGATTTATTATGAGATTTGAAACTGAAATTTAAAGTACCGGTACCATTGATTTCTTTGCTAACGCTGCCATTGATTGACATCCTCAAGGGCCCGTCATGTTTTAATTTTTCTAAAAACATACAGGTCCACGGTACTATTTTTGTTATTACCTATTAAGAGGATCGAAATATAATTAACAAATTATTGACATTAATTCATTAAAAGTGAATGATTATTAAGTAATATAGTGTTTTTCAACACGTTGGTACAGGAAAATCTTCAGGGCTCAATGAAAACAAGAAATACCACAAATATGGAAAGCATGCATATGTATCAAAATCAACCTGACGAATTTTAAGTGAATAGACAAATGTTAAGAGACTCTGTCATGTCTTATGGCCAAAGAAAATTGTCCTGAGTCTCTGTTTTGACTTGTCAACTGATTTGAACAGGGAAAACTTCAATTATAGCATTGGGATGAGTCAGTGTCTGATGATGTGTTCATTGTGTTATTTTATATCGTTCTACATTTGTTGTGCAGTTGATGTAATGTTTGAAGTAATTTAAACATTTTGATAAAATGTTTAATGACTCTGTAATCATCAAGTCAAGTCAGCTTTTATTGTCAAATATGCTCTGTGTGCAACATACAGCACAGATGAAATTTCTTTCCTCCACCACAGTGCAACCACAGGAGATGTTGTCCAATGGTATCAAACAGCAATGAAAAACAAAATTGATTTTCCCCCCCCCCCCCCCAAACCACCACCACCCACCCGCACCCAACACAACCCCTGGCGAATGGTTGCCAGTCTGCGAACAGCATGTACTTGTCTCAACCAGTCCATTACACAAAAAAAAGTCGGGGACCACTGATTTAGAATCTCCTCATGCCAACAGAGGCTCAGACCTCCCGAAAGACTTTGAGAGAACCTTGCGCTGTAGAGATGTTGTTCCCTGCATCACTGTACAAGCTGCACTCTATGGGAGGCAACACGGGCACATCATTGGATTACATGTGTTGCCTCATCTTCAAATCATCTCACCTAAAATAGAATCAACACTGTGTGCCAATCGAAGCTGTTTTTTTTTTTTCCAAATAAGCATACTGCAGATCCCTTAATGGGCAGTTTATCCAGTTGCAGTTCCTTTTCATATGTTCCCATTTGAATTTTGCCTGACTGCTGACCCTGTCAAATGAACAGGGGCCACCTGATGGTGGAAGAATGCAAGGGGCGGATGAAATGAGTGGGAGGTGGAGGAGGATGGCAGAAAATAGATGTTTCTGTCGATCTTGCAGGACAAAATTAAAGTGTGTGGGACAGCAAGGCTTAAAGCCAAATCAATGTTGTCAGCAACTGGCATTTAAGAAGGGACTATTAAAGTTTGGAAACACAGTCCTGGAATTAGGGCCAAATGGGCTAAAAGTAGGAGAGAAATGGCTTCCATTAAAATCAAACCTGGAAGTTCCTGTCGTTATTTTCCTCACTTGTGTTATTTTGTGCTTAATCTCTCTCACTCTCACGACCCTAATTGTCTCCATGGTGGGCATTTCATTTCATCTCAACGTATCATACAAAAAATGAGTAACCCAATCCTTATTTCACAAATGGATGTTTAAAAAAAAAAATACAGTACGGTACATCCTGTGATGTGGGTTCTTCTAATTTCAAAACATGTTCCCATTTGGATGTTCTGTTATACTGTGTGTTTGTGAGTGTGTGCTCCTGTTTCATTTAAAATGTATTGAGTAAATATGTTCACTGCCAAAGCGCTGAACCATCCTCGCACAGGTAAAGCTTTTTTTTTTTTTGACCTAATTCACCAAGTCACACAATGATTAATGGAGCAGAATGGAACCTTGATTTTAAAGACTAATTGGGATAGGGGTCATTTTTAAAAAACACCTAAAAACACCCACTACAGTACACAAACAATAAATCTTGTTTTGTGCTTTTTCTGTAAACTAGAAATACCCAGCACATTACAACATTATTGTAAATAAATATAACAAAGCTTGAAACTGTTTGAAAATGTAAAATGTAAAGTGTATCCAAACTTACATGTCTGGTGCAAAGGGGGTGGGGGGGGGGGGTGTTAACGGCTTGCAGTTGGTGGCTCGAGCCGCGATGTTAGCACTTTTTTCTTTTCACCTCTGAACGAACAGCTACTGGATATGATATGTTTGTTAAATCTGGATGGCGCACTCACATGATTTAATCGGCACAGTTTTGCAGTGGAAGCCATTCCTATCCTCACAAAACTCACATATTCTTTATCTTCTATTTATTGCATGTTTTCCTCATTGTGAGGTCAATGGCGTAATAGAAATATATAATTTGTAATTCATGTTACCACAAGGCTTGTTGGAACAATATCAAGGCTTATCAAGACTTTAGCTTGGAGGTGTTGGTTGACTAAAGTGTCGTGTTTTGGCTGCTCTGCTTGTGTTTGTCTATTAACCTGTGTGTAGAGCAGCAGAACGTTGAGTGAATTAAAATGCTGGAAGGAATCGGTCACAGTCATTGGGTCTCACAATGGCAATGACACTTTCAAATTAAATTGCCTCACACAGAAAAAAAAACAACAAATAGATTTACAGACTTGACTCACCCTACAGTAACGCAAATACCGGTTTCTATTTCTGACTCACAGCCAGGAGAGCACAGCCAAATCTCAGGTGGAACATGTGTGTGGGGTTTGTGGCCTCTGTTTGAGTACCCAGTGCACGTCTAGTGCGAGGCATGGTATAAATGTCTACATAGGCCGCCTAGACTGGGTTTTGGTGTTTGCACTCGGGTTGGCGCAGTTAGAAATAGGCATTTTGGGCTATTGTGGGTGTGAACACAGCCGACTTCATTCATCTCCATTCGAAGCGGCTCCTGTCATTCCTTGGGGCATGAGAGGCGCAGTCCTTGACATGGCAGAAAAAGAAATTAATTTGCTCGAGTCCATGCAGGAGGTCAAAGCATACCAAGTCAAGGACGCTTATAAGAAGCTGAAAGTAGACCTCTCCGGTCAGATGATGTGAAGTTGGCCATGGTAATCACAGATCTGCTTTGTGAAGTGGCCACTTGAGGTCAGCTTCAAGCCCCAATTGTTCGTGTCCCTGTGTGAGCCACCAACCAGCACCTTGTTTGCACAGGGAGGCGATTGTTGTATGCTATGTCACAGTACATGTTGGTATTCCAGGTTCCCGTAATGAACTGTAGCTCCCCAATGCCGGCAAGCATTCATGCAGCCTTAGACCGTGACATTCAGACCACCATGCTTGACGGTGAGCAAGACATACCTGGTTGCTGCTGCACTTGCTTGAGACCATCTGAATTAAATGAGTTTATGTTGGTCTCATCAGACCACAGAACACAGTTCAAGCAATCCAGTGTCCTTTGTCTTTTGCCAACCAGATCAATATGATGCAGCATATGGTTTAAATCATTAACTGGCAGACCCCAATAGCCCCATACATGATCCAAGTGGCATCTGTCCTATGGTCTTGGCCACGAGGCTGAAGCTCAGTTTTATGAGTGTTGGCAATCTTGGTCCCAATTTGGATCACGAGGCATACTCACTTTTGTGAGCAGTGACAGTGATATTTATATGTGCTGTTTGTTGAGTTAATTTGTGGGAGGAGTAAATTCACAGTTATACAAGTGGTGCCCTGACGACTTTACATCGTAGCAAAATGCCATTTCTTCAGAGCGGTTTTTAATGAAAACAACACAAAACTAAAGAGGGGTGTATCGATTTTTGTGAAATATTATATACATAAATGTATATGAGGCGCAGTGTCTTTTGGAAGAAATTATTCGAGTAAATTCAGCAGTTTAACAAATACCTGCCAATAGTGAAAAAAACGGGTGTAATTACTATTCAACAGGTTTTAAACCTGTGAATTTATGATCAGCCTGGGCACCTCTTTCAACTCATTTTTCATTTTAATTATTCTTGCGAATTATTTCTGCCTTTTGTGACATGTGTCTCAATAGTACAGGCCAACACGATACGATGAGATTTATTTGCCACTCTCACTTATGTTTTATTCATTTCAGTTCTTTATCAAATATGTTTCAGTGTGAATTTTCATTGCATTTCTCTTTTACTGCTTATTCACAGTGTGTCTGCCCGTGGAGCATTTTTCTGTGGTTTGTGCATTTGATATGTACAATTTGTGTGTGTGCTTGTGGTCAAGGAGACTGGTCATTTTTGATGTCATTTTGTGCTCCAATCATGTAGTCTATTGTCAGCTTCACTTCACTGTCCGTCCATTCAGGAAGCCTAATGGTCTGTGTAAAACACTCAAAGACTGTCACCACCTCCCACCTGGTTGGATTGTTGTAGGCTTTGTGTTTGTGGGTAGGACAATTTGTGGCAACTTGGCCTGATGCTGGGCAAAGGCAGAGTTTGAATATTGGGTGCAGAATTATTTGTCGTGATTAATATGTGCAAATTCTATTCTTTGGCGTGTAATTATCACGTGTATGGTAAATGGATTAAAATTCTACTTTTTCCATTCTGCCAGTATTGTCTTTGTTATCGCGATGTGCAAAGGGGTCACCTGTTTTAACCAGTACTCATTAGTCATCCTTCTATTATTATTTCAGTCCATCCGTCGGCAGCGATGACGGCGAATCTGCATCGAGAACGTACTTATGTACTTACGTTGATGGGGTCCAGTTTGGTGGCCTGAGTATTGCATCTCTGCTTTTTGCGGATGATGATGTATTGTTGGCTTCTTCAAGCTGCGATCTCCAACTTTCACTGTTGCAGTTTGTAGCTGAGTGTGAAGCGGTTGGGATGAAAATCAGCACCTCCAAATCTAAGACCAAAGTCCTCAGTCGGAAAAAGGTGGAATGCCCTCTCTAGGTTGGGGATTACATCCTGCCTCAAGTAGAGGAGTCCCTAGTTATGTAGTAGATGATGGATGGATGGATGGTTTTTTTTTCAGTCATTAGATAGATATTCTGATTCTGAAGTGCTCCAGATGGCATACATGGAACAATTTCATGCTGCTATATTGAGTTTTTGTTTATTATTGATGGTGTATATAATTGTGTCATAGTTGTGGTCGTATTAAGAGGTAGGGCAAGTCCCACTGAAGGCCCAGGTATCAAATGAATTACCTCACATAAACAAAACCATCTCTCTTCATTCTTCCACCCAATCCAAATGCCCTAGTTCATTTTAGATGTCATTGACATGCCGGGTGGGTCTGCTATGTCATATTAAATTTTGGCCCTGTTGCCAACCATGACTGAGTTTATTCCTTCGAAAGGCAATAACCGAGCCTGAGCAGCTTTTATTGGAGATTCACGAGGAAGCTGACAGGCGTGCAACAGGTACTGTATGTGTTGACATACTGTGCACTGACAATTAGAAATTGTGTGCAATTTACATTCACAGTCACATCCATCCATTTTCCATTTTCTAATCCGCTTATCCTCACAAGGGTCGCGGGCGTGCTGGAGCCTATCTCAGCTCCCAGCTGTCTTTGGGCAATAGGCGGGGAACACCCTGAATTGGTTGCCAGCCAATCCCAGGGCACACAAAGTGGAACAACCATCCACGCTCACAATCACACCGAAGGACAATTTAGAGTATCCCATTAGCCTGCCATGCATGTTTTTTGTAATGTGGGAGGAAACTGGAGTACCCGGAAAAAACCCACGCAGGCACGAGGAGAACTCCACGCAGGACGACCTGAGCCGGAATCAAACCTTGCACCTCTGCACTTTGAGGCTGACGTGCTAACCCAGGGGTAGGGAACTCCGGTTCCTCGAGAGCCATATCCTGCCTATTTTCGATCCCTCCCTACTCCAACACACCTGATTTAATTGATCATGATAGTTTTCAGGCCTCCTCAGAGCTTGCTGATGAGCTGATCATTTGAATCAGGTGTGTTGGAGTAGGGAGGCATTTCAACTCTCCGCATACTTGGGTTTGACCTCCGCAGATTCACCTTCTGTGAATTTTTTTTAAAGTTTGTTTTTTTGGGGGAAGTAGAGGGGGGTTGTCAGCCCCGTTTTTCATGAAAAATAGATTTAAAGTTTATCTTTATTCTTTGAAGATTTTTTGTTCTCTCTTTGCTTTATTTTTTAGTTTAAAGTTCAACCGATATTGGCATTAATCATTTTGAAGCCTGTTTTTGTTGGGTTGTTCACTAGTTGCCAGATTACTGCTTTTTGTGAACCATGTTGAGTTGAGTTTACTGGCACCATACAACGCTCATATATCAAGCCTCGACTCGTAAACCAAAGCAAAACTTGTCGAGTCCTGGTATTTCAAGGTACCAATGAACCTCTGTGAAAACTGTAAGTAGTAGGACATGCATTCTTTGTTCCGTGTAATTACATAAATTGCGGTTTAATTCCACATTGGTTGAAGAAAGGCAGGTCTGGTTGTAACTGTATTTATATTTTTTTTTCATAATGGTTGCTGTACAAGTAGACACACTGTATAAACAAACACCTCATAAGCGATAGAAATGGATGGGTGGATGGATGGATACAAACATCTGTAAACAGTCTTTCATTTGATAAAAGTGTGGTCATCCTTAATCGTTGCCACGCCTAATACATTTGCTTCTAATGAAGAAAGTTAGAGATAATGGTCATTATCAACACTGCTGAAACAACAAATGAATTCATTATGGCCCAAGCCTTTACACATTCATTAGTGTATCTACAAGAGCTTAGGAGCATGTAGGTTGTGAAATCTCATGTCCATTATACAGGGAGTGTTGTGAAAAGGGGATTGTTAACAATTGAAAGCCTTTGAGACCGGTTGAAATGTTCCGCGGATCTTGATCCTGCTTAATTGCCGATGGATGTTCCGCTTTTAGCTACACTGATATTTAAAAGGCATTTGAAGCGGAGACTCTGCTTCGTTCTTGTTGAGAGACAGTGTGGATGTGAATGTGTGTGTTTTTTAAACAGATCAAGATGTACCCCATCAGCCTGAGTGAAATCATTATTAATTGCTTCTCACATGTGATTCCTCACTTGTCCTTTCTCTCTCCATCAAGTTGTCGGGCTCTCCACAGTATATTCCCGCCTCCTACTGCACACACTAAAAGAAAAAAAATATTATAATAACTAGGGGAATTTAAGAAATATGGTTGAGTTATATTCATTAATTGTTTTCATCAAAAGATTTTTATCAGCCAAACATGATTTAATAATAAATGCAGGTGAATTTGTCCCTATGTGTTTTGTAGAAATTGACCACGCTAAATTCTACGCTATATCTTCATTAGATTTCAGTAGAATGATTTTTGTAAACTCCACCAGACAACAAACCCTCTTCCCGTCTCTATGTTACCACATATAATTATTTTTTTCTCGTTCTTCCCCCTCAACAATTAAAATCTGAATGTCCTTATCTTTAATCCCTTATGTTCCCAGATCTTTCTTGATGCAAATACCATCCGGCTGGGCAACATTCCCCTTGGCAGTGCAGTGGACCCACTGGAAGGTGCGGCAGCAGGTACCACCTACACCAAACAGACAGGCGTGTACGAACTGTGTGCCTGCGCTAACGGCAAGCTCTACCTATCCCCTGCTGAGAAAGGCTCCACCTGCCAAACAACAAGTAATTTTTGCCTCTGGAGCTGAAAGTTCGACAGAAAGCGAGAAACAATGGACCATTTGGGGAGAAGCTAACGCTAGCCAACGAATTGAATGAATATGAATCTTAACTGGTGGTAACGCTATTGCAAGCCAAAAGACCAGTTGTCATTGACTGAAGTATGGCAAGTCATAAAATGGATACGATTTTGGCAGCACCAGTCATCATGGGACCGTTCCAGCTAAAGAACTGAATCAACAAGGATGAGAGCGAGAATCGACACCAGCTCAGTTACCTACTAAGATGGTTTGGACGGGCACGACGTGTTTGTCAACAGAATGGCTGAATTTGGTGGAAATGACAAAGTCCGTTCAAGGTGTCACGCTATGAACATGGATGTTCCACAACCGTACTCTGTCGGACTACAAGATATCTATGCCCGTGTGGCTTTTACGTTTTCAAAAGTGGTCATCTGAGGAAAGCTGCAAGTTGAAAGGAAGTGTAGTGTTCATCGAACGACCAAAAAGCTAGCGGTAATGACTGCAACCTCACCAGCAGGAACACAGACAAGGAACATGGGTAAACCTCAACTGAGGATCATGTGTTCAAGCTGTGGGTAGTTCCCACTTTTGGTTTAATCTAGTGGGAAGCTGAGGTTAGCTACTGGACCAAGCTATACCAGAAAGGCCTTCCCCTTCCCTTCCCTGCTGGAATTTCCACACAAATGTTAAAAGTATGACTGAACCCCACAACCCTTCAATCACATTCACTCTGTTCAGTCACATAATAGTGTCACGACTAAGGATAATGAGTTGTGCTTCAGCTTTCACATCACAGTCTCTGTGTATCATTTTTTCCCGCTACTTGAATTATTCTACGACTTTACCATTTTCATTCACTATTTATTACAATTTAAGTTGAAAGTGTTTTGAAGAATACACTCATCTGCCAATACAACAGTAGGATTGTGTCCACTATTTTTTCTCTTTCTTTCCTTCCTTCTTCTTGAGCACCACACCAGGGTAAAACCAGTTCAGGTATCATAATCGGACTTTAAAGATGTGTTGACACTTGTAATTTGGTTTTCTCGTCAGGACCAAAAAAAAGACACAATACTGATGAATTCGGCAACAACAAAACATTGGCCAGTCAATTTGGCATCAAGTCATGTTTAAGAATTATAATGGCCAAATGGATGTTTTGAAAGTGTGAGTGTCTTCACAAAATACGTCACAATCTACAGCTTGTTGCCGGGCAACCATAAATACAATGTGAACACAGCCAAAGAGTCTCTCCCCCGGAGTCCCTTTTTCCACCAATTATGTTTTCTGTAATTGTTGTAAATTTTTCATTCTTTTTTTTTCAGTCTGCTTCATTTCAGTGTTTTACACAATATTAACCGGTAACCAATGACTATCTTCTCACCCCACAGTACTCACTATTCCTTTTTCATTTCTGTATTTATCTGTTGCTCATGTGATATTCTACTACACTAAATCGGCGAATGTCTTGGGAAACCTGTAAAATTATTTCCTCAGTGGTGGGACCCCCTGAATCTTAATTCTTCATCTTCATTTGGTATAATCCGATGCTGACTTTGTGGGAACTTTTGAGGAAAACCCTTTTCTGTGCTGGCACGTCATGATGAGATTAGTTTGATCTGGTAGAACATCAAACACCTTTGGGATAAATTGTGTGCAGCCCCAAGAGAGGAACAGCTGTTTTAGCTGCAACTTCTACATTGTGACTTTGCAAACATGTTTCATACATCCTGGCTAACCTTTCAACAGCTCTGCAATCTAAAAACAAAAACAACTCAAGATTCCAGAGAAATGTTTTTGTGATGGTTGTTTTGTTTTTTTTTTAGGTAATGTGTGATGTGAATAAGATGAGTCATCTGCACAGGTGTCATCCCCCACCCTCTGTAGGGCAATGAGCTGTACTTGCTCAATAGGATTCAGGCCCTGAGGCTGACTGATCGACTGATTCTGTTTTTATTTTTTTGTTTGGTTTTGTTTTTTTTTACAAAGTGATACACAGGTGCCTTTGCTGCTGTTGGTAAAAGCACATCCCAATCTGGACATTCACACTCCCTTCAGTGGACATCTGCAAGTGTCAACCTATTTATCGACCTACCTACCCATTTCCTTTTTACACACACACACACACAGCCCAACCACTCTCCCCTCTTGAGTTTGTAGATGCAGTCGATCCAACTAAAAAAGAACTATATGACCCTGGTTTTCAGTTGGGTTTTTTTTTCCTCACTTGATTTTACTCTTGATAACAAAAAGCACAAATGATGCCATGTATATAAGAGTACCAATAAATAAAATAAATGAAGATATTGTTTTTAAAGAGAGTCTTGGGAATCCTCACTTTTTCTCCTCTCAGTTCACATTGGATCTGTGATTTATATTCGACATTTTATGGAGTTTTGTTCAAAACTATACTTTTACACCCCCACCTAATCTTAAATCATCTTTCTGCATTCATGATGCCTTATTTAAAACTACTTTCATCAACATTGCTTGTTTTAGCCCCCACGCGTTGTAGCACAAATCTGAAAATTCCGATTTAGCGTTTGTTTTTGGCCAATTCGCATCTCAATTCGAATCACCACCAATTCTTGCTCAGATCTAGTAGGAAGCCAAAGGGCTGAATATTTTTACAAGGCACTGTAGATCTTTAGATCTTCAAATGGCCACTCGCTTTTTTACTCTTCCAGCCTCTGGGCTAATATTCAACCGCTCACCTCATTACACGCCACTCGTTCCCCACCTGGGCCGTGAAGGCTGGCTCATTTGACACACCGCCCCCGAAATTTCACCTGAGTGTAATGAGTGGATGTTAAGGTTGCTTTATTTCTTTATCACATGTATTTTGGTTTGTCATTGAAAGGCCAAATGGCGGGTCCCCCTACGTGCCATTCAAGATGACAAGTGGAAAAAGATCACATGTATAAGATGCTCCAGGAGCCCAAACAGCTCTGTTTTATGGAAACCGAATACACAGGCAAGGTGCTGGTTATATGGCTGTGTTGCTTTCAAATCAAACAATATTCTACAGTACATGTGTGAGGATTGCTTGGCACCCACGTGCCACTAAATTATGCCAATACCAAATTTTTACTTTGTACAAAGACAAAGTCATACAATTCTAAAGGGAGGCATCGTCTCTCTCTCTCTCCCTAATTTTTTGGGGACATTATTCTAATTAATCCCAGTAAAACCGTCAACCATGTCATATTGTTGGGATAATTACTTTGGTGTGCACTCTGTCATCCATTGACGATAACAACTATACAATTGAGGCTCTGTTTGCTCCACATCTCACAACGGTGTCGTAGAAAAGATTGTGATACAAACACCCGCGTCTCCTTTTATCATTTTTCTCCACAGGTGGTGGTATAAAAGAAAAAGTAGGGATTTTCTTTAAGCAAACGACCCGCAGGAGGCCTGTTATAGTGGGAGTTTATCCCTCTGCCAGGGGTATCAAAGTAGCACAGACATAAAGGTGATAGTAAAATAGTCTTTTCTTATTTAATTACTCACTTTCTGCAGGATTTATGGTCCTCTTTGTGTTGTTTTTTTTCATGCAAATATAATTTTCCCAATTGCGTGTGTCTCTCCTATTTAGAACCAATTACCTACATGTGTAGGTGGATGGCTTATTAATTGTGAGCTTATGCAGAATTGGCATCTGGCTTGTTTATAAAAAGGCTTTTCCTTAATATGTCAAGAATTTCATATGCGATAAGGACATCTTCTTGTATGCCCAAAATGAAATGCTAAAAGCACTTCCAATGTTTTATGTTTTTCATTATATGCCATCATTTGGTCACCATTGTTGTTTACGCCACTATGGACTGTCGAACAATTATCCTACAAGTGCAACCTTCAGGATGATGACAATGCAGACCTCAAAATAGAAAGGATCACGACGGCGGAGTGTGACGAAATTGTGAGGGTATATGCGGCCATTATTTTACTTTGACAGCCAAGAGGAAAACTTGTCAACTGTGTAAGGTAAGAAGATGCAAATACTGTACATTCGAACGTGCCGTATTTTCCGCACTATAAGGTGCACCAAAAGTGCATATATATATATATATATATATATATATATATATATATATATGGATGCTTATATCTTTATTTATATTTCATTCTCCATTGTGAGACAAAGGTTTTCCTATCTTCTGGAAAGTGCTTTGTTACACCTGCAGCAGTTGCGAAAGCTCGATATAAATAGAGCTGTATTGTATTGCATTCCCTTTAACGTATCTCCATCAAGTGGATGCATAATGCAAACGCAGCCACGATTCAAGTTTCTATTCTGTGTGCCTTATAATGCGGGTGCACCCAATATATGGAAACAGTTTTAAAATAGGCCATTCATTGAAGTTGTGCCTTATACTCCGAAGCACCTTATAGTGCGGAAATTACGGTACTCGCCCATCAAAATTGTTGACTCCACAATGGCAGTTCCACACTTAACTACAGATCCAAATCTAAATCTTTCATTCACAAGATTGTCCACCAAGATGCCTTCTTCTGTCACCTTTATTTAAGATAAGAAAAGGTTTAGGGAAACAGCTCACAGTGGTGGAATACTCAGCACAGGTCTACTGAGGAGCACTCATGGCACATACAGTATGAAGTCTGTTCCAGTACAGTATTTTTCACCCAGTGAATGAAAATGTTTATGTGTCAGTTGGGACAGATTTGACAGTCAGACTATTTAAATAAAATTGCTTTGGGAATTGACATTAATGACCCAAATATAAAGTATTTGAATAAGTTAACCTAATTCACCTAAAAAAAAGTGTTCCGCATTTTGTAAAAAAATAAAATGTGGGATTTAAAAGGGCAAGCGGATGAAGCCAAAGCCCTTCATTTAGTCCTTGATCCTTATCTGATGAGGAAGACAAATTGGAAAAAAGAGACATGGATCTCGGGACCACAAGGAAATTAAATGTTGAATTCGACAGGCAGACACACTCAATCATGCTGTTCTTTTGTTAAAAAATAAATAAATAAAATGTAAAAAAAATCTTGGATTGAATCCCCTGCTGCTTTCCAAGTGAGAATTATTGCACTTCCAGTTTTTTGCGTATGACAAGGACTGGGCAGAGGCCAGTTCGCACACACACACACACACACACACACACACACACACACACACACACACACACACACACACACACACATTTGTTGAACAGATGTAAATGTATAAATGATATCAGTTACAGGAGCTTGTCTTCTTGAAACTCGACTTTATTAAATCTGCCCTTGTCGCAGACTGGATTTTTGGTTCAGGAAAGTCATGAGGCTGTTTGCGATTTCATCTTAAGAACTCTTCATTTTTTTGTTTTCATTTTAGAGTTGACAACAATGCTCAGTCAAATCGCCAGGGAGGAAACCAATATGACGCTTATCTTTCACACCGACTCAGACCCGGCTATCACATATATCTTTTCCAATGTTTCTCTGACAGCTCGAAAGATTCCCGATGTCTTTGGTGAAACTAATATTTCATTTCATCCAATTTTGTTTTTTGCCACTATACTTCTGCTTCCTCCAATCTCCCATCCATCACAGTTTAACATAATTTGTCGTAGTTTCGATGGTAAGGGTTTAACTTTCGGGTATATTTTTGCAACTTCCATAAATAAAAGTAATGCTTTTTCAAAAAAAAAAAAAAAAACAGTCACCTTTCTGTATAAAGCGTACATTTCTTTTTAAGATGGGTAAGGCTATGTGTTTGATTTATGTGCGTGTATGCATGCATGCATGTGTTTTGGCCCACGCCAGGTAAGAATTAATCAGCGTCTATACCATATGGCGTTCCAACAAATTCCCCCGACAGGGGGGGTGGCTTCCTCAAAAGGAAGGAGACGCACATCCATCTGAACCCGTGAACATTCACGCACACTGGGCGTCCTTTGAGATGAAACAAACTTCATACATCATTATAGAAATATGTGTGCGCACTGCACCGTTCCTTATCCTTTTTTGATTGTTCAGTGTATTTCTAAACATGTATTTATTCAGCTCTGTTGAACATCTGAGACTTTTGTACCGCTGATATCGAGAC